TTTTATTTATTTATTTATTTTCCTTTCGCTCTCCAATATTGCTTTGACTTTCGAACGTGGGGGTGGTCAAAGGAAATTCCAATACAAACGTTGACTCGACTCAAACCAAGGATGTATGTTATGCTTCGGGATAAACAGAAAAAATGGGGTTGCTGCTGCATTTGCCGCCCAGGAGTGAAACCGTCGGGATGGACGAACTTATTGCCGTTTGGGCGATTTCATGATGGGCCGGCTCTAAGCTTAAAACAGTAGCTGCCCCAGATTTTATACTGTAACAAATGTCAGCGGTAAGCTTGCAACTAACAGCAGTTTCATATTTTCTTCCATGAAATTTCCTTCATTTGCCACCATTGTCAAAAGAAAAAAAACCCCAAGTTTTTTAATTATAGGATCAGTCATGCCTGTTTCCTTTATGACAAACTTTATCATATGGTTTTATTGAAGCCGTGGACTTGGTTAAGGAGCCTGAAAGATGAGTAAAGATCAACCACTTCTAATGTTGTTAAGCTCCCAAATTAGATCAACATTTATGGTCAAGTTGTGAGGGGCCTTGGACTCGTGATTATGGTTTATCTCATTCATGAATAGCCTATTCTGATCCAAGATATTGTGGACCTGCACAAAGTTCTTTTGAAATATCTGCACTACTTTCACCACCATTGTCATGCTCTCACCCTCTATTTCCCCCCGTACCAGTGCCATATCAAATCAAAATGAATCAATTCTAAAACACAGAGGACAAAAGATGAAGAAAGCTGTGGGATTGTTTCACAAATTATGACCATCGTGGAATATGAGATGGCTATTCAGCTCAGTTAGTAGAGCACAAGGTTCTTAACCTTGAGGTCGTGAGATCAAGTCACACGGAGGGCATTTCATAATTCGGAGGTCTTCTAAGGAAGCTGCTCTCAACCTGGTGTTGGGGACAGCCTACTATCTTACCTCCTCCTTACGCTATGTAGAACAAGGGACAGCCATTTATTTTTGGATAGGGTTGTTAATGGAAGCTTTAGTGTGTCTTTGTTGACATGATATCATTATTATAATATTCGGGGTATAATATTCATCTGACTTTAGTTGAGAGAGAATTATACAGTGACACGATTTGAGATTGTTTATTTTTTGTGTATCGTAGGAGCAAAGTGAGCTGCATTTTGCGAGATATTGAGTCGATAAAACCTTGATGCAAGTATAAAGTTGCAACGGTGGTGGATGAGAGCCGGGCCCCTTGGTCCTTACATCGTTTCAGCGTTAATTAAGCCTATGGAGAGAGTAAGTAGCCTTTGAAAGTTTTTAAGAATATATATATATATATGGATGTTACTGCATTGTTTTGAAAATCGGACTGGATCGGCCGGTTCAACCGGGAACTGTTGCCTAGTCCGGTTTAATCTAAACCGGTTAAACCGTTACTAGTGAACCGGTCAGAACCGCTGAACCGTTCGAACCGGACCGGTTAAAAACCGGAAATTTTGTTTGTTTTTTTTTTAAAATATTAAACCAAACGTCGTTTGTTAAACGAGCCAAGTCGAACTTGAGTATTGCTGAGCTCGATTCGAACTTGAAAACTTTAAAAGTAAGCTCAACTCCACTCAAACTCACAAGTTAAAAATTATCAAGTTCAACTCGAACTCGAAATATAATATTGAAATTTGAACTCAAAAAGGCTTAAACTAAAAAAAAAATAGAAGCTCAATTGAAACCTAAAATTCGAGCTTGATTGAAGTGAAAGAATAGTTCACTCAATGCTCACTAAAAGACTCCATGATTTTGAATGTCAAATTACCTCTATTATTTATAGAAGTTAGTTGTGATGCTCTTCTATGTTTCTTAGCAATGTGAGATTGTTTTGTTCTCATATTTTTACTCTTTAGACTTTTGGGATGCTCTTCTATGTTTCTTAGCCATGTGAGATTGTTTTTTAAAACAAATTAAACAAAACAATATCATTTTGTTATGATTTTTTTAGCCCCAAATTTATTTTTTAATTATAGTTATATAATTATATTTATTATTTAATATGTTTTACCTTAAATATTATGTTGTAGTTAATTTGAATCATTTTGTTTCACTTGATTTTATGATTTTATGATTTTTAATTTATATATGTTATGACTTGCTTTGAATATGACTTGTGATATAAAAAATTATTTTTTATTAAATATTTTTGGTATTTTTTATTTAATTTTTTAAATAATTATGACGTCGTCCAGTTTTTCCAACCGGTCGGACCGATTCGACCGGTGAACCGGTAGCATGGCCGGTTCGCTAACCGGTCCGGTTCGCTAACCGGTCCGGTTCGTTAACCGGTCCGGTTCTGAAAACCATGTGTTACTGTCATTCAATCTGGACACACGATAAATTAATCATCAATGTGACATCAAATTAATCATAAATAAATTTTAAATTAATAACATGGAAAAATATAATTTAACAAGATAATTAAACTTATATATTCATTTAATAATAATATTGAAAAAATCAAAATGATCGGATTAAAAAAACTAATAATTGATAAATTTTAAACTTTTAGAGACTAAATTGTAAAATTATAAATAAAATTTTGAATAATAATTAAAACATGAAATTTATAGAATTATTATGTAATTTATCACTTATTCAAAATTATGAGTGTTAAAACAAACTAGAACCAAATTGACGTCAAATGGTTAAGATATGATTGTATGACTAAATTGTAAAGATTTAAAATTTGTGGAAGAGTTTTAAAAATTTTAATCCAAAAAGTTTAGGAAAAAATATTCTCTTCTACCACTAAAACTACTTAATGAGTTCATTTTTTAAAACTCTTAAGCTAGATAACATATACAAACAATATCAAAACTTATGTACACTCTCCTTTCAATTTTCATATTTTTTATAGAAAGTCGTTAGTTTTATTAAAAATAGAAAATATCAAAAATTATAATTAATATTTACAAGCATAATCGTAAACCTAAAATATAATTATGACATTTTCCTATTACCATAGAGATAAAAACTAACCACCTAGATCACATAAAGACCAAAGAAGGAAAAAGGTTAAAAAACCTAACCAAAAAGCTCGAACAACATAAAGATACGAATAAATCTTATTGCATCGGCAAACGAACAACAAAAAGGGATAAAACTACTGAAAGATCACCGACAAATCGCAAACCAAAGTCGAGCGACGTGAAAAAACTATCTACGAACACAAAACGCAATAAGAGGGTTCAAATCAGGGAAGATCAACATGATAACAAATAAGCGTCATCTTGATCAGTCGTGGCGATGTCAAATCCAATCCTGTGAATAAAATAAACGAAAACAACGGTAAAAAACTGTAAGCTACCAAAAGACAGAGAAAAACATGCTACAAAGACAGAAATAAATGTGTTATAAAGGCAGAGAATGTGTCACAAAGACATAATTATTCTTATTAAAATTTTTAAAAAAAGATAGAAGATAACCGACGGATGACAATTAACATCAAAACTGGTGCCGCCGCCGGTTAAACAAAATTTATAAAAAAAAAAAGTTAGATTGATGAATAAAATTTATACAAATTATAAAAAAGAAAAAAAAATGAAGAAAGAGGAAAAGGAAGAATGCTGTTAATTTTTTTCCCTTTCCAATTTTTATATTTAAATACTTCATTGAGCTTTGTCTTTTATCTCTCAATGTTTAATCTTAACTTTGTCTCAAATTTGAATATTTAGAAATGATCTTCGATCACTTTCTCGTATCTGGATTTCACCTAAGCATAGAAGCAAACCATAACCGGCGCTTCTTGCAGCACCTTTACTATCGTCGGGAAGGCTTTTAGCGGTGTTTAGAAAGGCCACTAGAAAAACACTTTGCAACTTGATAAAAATATGTCTGAAATACTAAATATAAATAAGAGGAAGCCCATACATATTAGTGGGATTCACCTGATAATGTAAAACTTGTGATGAAGAAGACGTTATAAACTATCTTGTACACAACCTAAAAAAACTAACTAATTTATCCAAAAAAAACTAACTACACAATAAATATAACTCACATGCACTTTGTTACCATTTGTCTATCACATCGATTAATATATTCTAATTAAGTATTACTTGATTGTTGTAGAGGAACCATATAGGTGACAATTCCAGAACGTCTTCCATAAGTATACTAATATCAAATGTACAAATAAGTCACCTCAAAACTCTATCACATAAAGGAAATTATTCTAATCATTTACTTGACAAAAATATAAATTTTAAAATCTTAATTCTCAAAATAAACATAAAAAATAAAATCCTCATGATCATGAACGTAAAAAAAATTAAATTAATTCATGATAAAAAAAATAGTTCAGACTGCTAATTTAAGAGTTCAATACATCCTGTTGAAAAGAAATGCGGATATTTCATTTTATCAAACAATCACAAACTAATAATTTACATTTAACTTAATTACAATCAAACAACAACAACAAAATCCTATTCTCATATGCAATGGGGTAAGGGGAGGTAGGGTAGTAGGCTGCCCCCAACGCCAGGTTGAGAACAGTTTCTGTGGAAGACCTCCGACAGTCAGAAAATTAAAAATAAAGATAAAATACAATGCATGTATAAATAAATAAATAAATAAATAGTTGAACAGTCTTCATATGCACTCTTCATATGCGCGTCTATAATGGGAAGTAATCCATCGCTTTAAGACTTCTCACGTTAGATCGAAAATTTAAGGTATTTTTAGTTTATTTTTAAACTTGAATTACTATATAACGATAAAAACATTTGTATTTAAATATAATTTTTACTAATATTTATATAAATATTCGAACAAGGGAAACTTAACCCACGAAAGTTTATAATACTAAAAAAGAGAGAAGAAGGACCTTTTTGCATTGACATTCAAACTTATCAACAACATTACAGTGAATCTACTTGGGCTTGAAATTGTCCTAATAAATTGTGAAAACTTTTCACTTTTCCGAGATTACTTGTTCTAGTTAACCTTATACAAAGCCATTTAAAAAGGGGGTTCTTTACTGAAAAACAACCATAAAAAATGCTATGCACAACGATCTTCCATGCTTTGTATCAATTGTCTCGTTGCTTTCCGACAATCTCAAATATTTTTTTTTCTTTTGTGGTGGGGGTATGTGTATCCGACAACAAACATGGGTCTGCCACGGGCGGTTAAATAATTACGGATTTACCTCATGTATCTTGTCAATGGCTTCTTTCAGCGGCAACCGTTGATCGGGATTGGTTTCAGTACAAGCAGCTCCGATACGGAGGAGTTGAACCATCTGGTGGATGGAACTTGAACCGTGTGATATCTCGGGATCAATCAAATCGGCTGCTTGATCTTCGGCTACGGCTGTTTGAACCCAGTGGACGATATCGATCCCACCTTTGCCATTGCTTAGATACTGAGATGGGAATTTGCCCGTAATGATCTCCAGGATGAGGACTCCCAGGCAGTAAACATCGGATTTGGGGGAGACCTGCTGGGTCTGAAGGTATTCCGGGGATCTGTAAGCGAACAGACTCTGGGGAAGACAGTCGGGGTTTGTCAATGGCTGAAAGGCGAAATCGCTCAGCAATGGCACGTAGTCGTCGTTTAAGAGGACGTTGCTGGATTTAAGGTTTCCATGGGGAATCTCGTACGTTGCGAACTCCGTATGAATGAAACCCAATCCATCGGCTATTCCCTTGATGACCTTCGAACGTGTTGGCCAGTTTAGATTAGCGTGAATGATTCCTCGATCACCTGAATCAAATCAACCACCTTTATTTGATGATGAGATTGGAATGGTTTTAACCAATTTGAGTATGTGAAATCATACCATGCAAGACGTATGAGAGGCTCCCCTTGGGCATATATTCAGAAACAACAAGCTTCTCCTCCTTTTTAAAATGATACGCCAATGGCGTCAGTACATTGGGGTGCCTTAATTTCCCTATCCGTTTCATTTCAGCGTCGAATGCTTCTTTTCCCAGCCGATTCAATTCCTTCATCCTCTTCACCACCACCGCCAACCCATTCCCCATCACCGCCTTATACGCTGACCCCAACCCGCCGTTCCCAAGCACCTCCGCCGCCGCCTTCATCAAATCCTGCATCCCGAATGCACCCTTCTCGTCGTTCATCATAACCAAGTCAGCCCCCCACCCTTGCTCCCGTGCGACGACCCTTTCTTCGAGGAAGTACTCCGGCGGCTCGTATCGGATTTCTTCCGCTTCGTGGTGGTCGTCGATTGGGCTTGCGACACCTTGACCGGAAGAACCTCCTCTTTTAACGGTTCTTTGCTTAAGATACTGAAATCATCTTCCCTCCTACGCCGCTTTGCCATAACGAAGGCGACTACGACCAACAACAACACGGCGGCAATGCTGGCGATGGAAATAACGACTACATTGGAATCGGATCCTTGGGTTTTATCCACCGACGAGGCTCCTTTGCTATCTGACTGGTCAACTTTGCTACCCGAGCTTTCGCCATGGCTATCCGAATCGTGAGTTTCGTTGCACACTTTTGACAAGATTCTCCACAAAGACCGTCGTTTCCTTGGAATGCGCTTACTTCAAACTTGGAGAAACTTGCTGGGATTTCGCCTTGGAGTTTGTTATCCGACAGATCGAGGGAATTAATCACTTCTGGATTTTTCAACCGTGGGATTTTCCCGGAAAATTGATTCGACTCCAGATGGAGTTCAATGAGATTGGGGAGTTGCATCAACGAATCCGGGATTTTGCCGCTGAATTTGTTTTCGTTCAACCAAACTTTCTTCAAATTCTCCATGGGATAAAAATAATCATTGGAGATTTCACCGCTAAATTGATTCTGAGACAAATAGATAGCCCTTAAAGAAGTGAGATTATTGAACTCCGGGATGGAACCCGTGAAGGAGTTGTTTATAAAGCTGATGGCTCTCAACCCGCGGATTTGAAGCAAAGCCTGAACGTCGATTTGACCGGCAAGCTGTAAACCCGTCAAATGGAGGGCAACGACGGAACCACCAGAGCACTGAACACCGAGCCATTTCTTCTGACAAGGATCGGAATCGGAGACCCAAGAATCCAACTTGGCATTGGTGATAGATTTCTTGAGCTTGAGGAGGGCCTTTTCGTCATCGGATTGAGAGAGGGAAAGGGAGGGAAGAAGAGAGGCAAGGAAAGGAAGGAAAAGGAGGAAGCGAACAGCGGCCATATCTGACCGGAAATGTGGAAAAGCTCCGGGAAGAAACGAGCCGCTGCTGCGTGGAGAAATGAGGGGTTTTGTTGTTTAGGTAAGGTTTGGATTGAGGAGAGGCTGGTGTAGCCATTGTTGGATACGAGTATGGGGGAGAGGTTGAATTCAATGATGGGAGCTGGCGAAGGTTACATCAGATCCTAAGAATAGCATTTGGTGAGGGAAATCACCTCAAACTTTGGTTTTTAACTTCTTTGACCTTTTCATCCCCATATTATTATCAATTCCCAAATTAATAACCCATCCCATCTATGTAACAGACTTCACCTAACTTATAACCCTCTTTTATGGATTCAATTCATCATCTACTCTTAATTCAAAAATAATACGTCAATGAGTATTGATATAAGTGATTGAGATTCAGAAATTAACCTTTTAAGATTAAATTTTAATCTTACCATCGTTATTCTTAGTGGGTAATCCGTAAATTCTTATATAAATCTCAATTGGGTAGTAGCTATGTCCTAGCCCTAAACTAGGGGAGATACCTTTGACCTAAACTTTAGGCAACACAAAATAATACTAATTTTTTAGGATAAAATATTGATTGGATATAAAAAAGTCAAGAAATTGATGAGAATAAATTTGTAAATAATAATAATCAAAAGATCAAATTGAGTAAAATACAAAGTTAATGAACTAAATTGAAAAAAGAGTACAATTTTAGTAAAAGAAAATTGGAATTGGAGTTAGATAGGTACTTTGTAGTGGAAGGGGAGCATGTGGTTTAAATTTGGCCAAAATATATTTAAAATGAATGATGAATTTAAGAAATAAGAAAATCATGTAAAGTTGAAGGGATAAATTGAAAAAATATAAAATTTGTTATCATAAAGTAGAATTTAAAGTAAATAGATATTTTATGATGGTTTAGGAGTTTGTAGTTCAATTTTGATAAAAATATACTTAAATGAAAGAATAATTGAAGGAATGGGAATATTATGGACTAAATCGTAAAATTATCAAAATACTAAGTCAATTTTAATTGTAAATGACTCAAAATATTTAAATTTTAATTTTACTCGAACTCAAAAATCGACTCAACAATTAATTAACTCGAATAACTCAATATTAGGAAAAAACAATTTTCAAATATAGTTAAGTTTTGTTTACTCCAATGTTATGGGTAAATTGTTTTTATAACATATTATATAGTATATGCTAAACTGTGTATTAATGGTGAAAAATAATGAAAAAGAAAAGGTGCAATAGAACTAGAACTTGGAACTTAAGGGGATGAGCACCCCTGACCTATATAATACCTTAGCCCATAAGGCAGAAAGTACAAAACTATAGTAAAAATTAACATAACTATGCATAATCAGAAAGTTAAATTTATATATAATCAGAACTAAACATTTCATATTTAATCAAAACTAAACGTTATATTCTAAGATATTATATTTTCTAAAAATATTTTTATATAATACTTTAAGTTATTTTCATTGATTTTAAATACCAATATCAATTTTCATATAAAAAATTATAAAATTAAATAAAAAAAATCAATTTCATTTAAGGTGATTACATTTTTTAACAGACCAAATAGACAATCAAACTGAAACAAAACTAATTTCATAAAATCAAAAACCAATTAATCTATAATCTATATAAAAAAATATTTTAATGGACCAATCTATCATTTATAGTTACTTATGTTACCAAATTTATAATTTATAATTTTTTATTATTTATAAAATATATCACGTCTATAAATAAGAGTACTAACTTTATTAGAATATTTGATTAAATAAACTCTTTTGATAAGAAGAGTCATCACCCATGTAATAAGAACTTTAATTGTTTTCTATGAGGTTTTCGTTATATAATAATAAATATAAATATAAAATGTATATTGAATTGCTTAATTTTTAAAGTGGATTTTTTCCCAATATTCAATCGATCTAGTAAGTTAAGATACTATATCCTTTGATTAAGGTTATAAATTTAAATTTTGATGTTAATTCAAATTAATCGATTAATATATTGAATATAGATTGTTATGTAAACAATTATACCTGAATTTTAATATTTAATTTCTTTTACCCTGACTGCATTTTTGTAATGTTTCTGCAATGACGAGGTGGTTTCCGGGTCTTGGAGCAGGTCGAAGATTTGATGTATTTGATTGGTGTTCTGCGATAAGAAACATTCAATCATTGTATTTAATTTACTATTTTTATATAATTAAAAATAATGTTAATTAATATCTAATGACGCTGATTAACATTTCTCTAATAATACTTGTTTGTGAACGTGGGATTAAACGATTTTAAATTGACAAACGAAGTTGCTTGAAAGAAGATTTATTTTTTCCTTTCTATAATTAATGGTGAACAGGCCGAATCGGAGCAATATTCATAATTCTTTTAACTAGTATAAGATCTAATTTTGTTGAATAAAAAAGAAAAATACAATTAAATTATAATGAATGAAATCATAAAATGTAAAGTATATTAATCATGTTATTTAATTATTCCTTTCAAAATCTATTTATTGTCATCGATGATAAAAGAAAATGTTGTTCTCTTTCAAGAATCAGAATTCGAACAACTGCTTACATTATCAAAGAAAGTTTTAACTACTCATATCGTAAACTAGCATATGCAAATGAGGCATCCAATAGAGCAATTTTTCCTTCTTTTGAAAGGCTTTCGACTATTCAATTCCACACGAAGTCAAAGATTCCCATAATATCCTAGCGAAATAGCACTGATGTCATATTCAATAAAATTTCCAAGAATGTAACACCCTAAACTCGATTAGGCCTAAAGTGTTACACTGGGCTGTCGAGGTAACCCCTGATCCTCAAAACCTATTCATTTTCTTTTCAAATGTATTGAATGGTATCATAATAAAATATAAACAATTGTTATGAAACATTTTACAAAACCAGATGATTTAAATCAAAATAATACATATTTAAGTTTACAACTCAAATACATAAGTAAGGTTCTATGAATAAACATGCCCACTAAAGCTACAGTACAATACTCTGTCGGAGATACTGGAAGTCTTGTGGTGATGGTGCCCAACGAACTGCTCAAGCTATGGACCTGCCAACAGAAAACATCAAAAGGTTGAGCTTATAAAGCTTAGCAGTATAATCACTAATCTAGAGCAATATAAGAATTTAATAAACTAAAGCATGCTAGAGACATAGTACTAAGCAGTAGGTACAAGCATGATTCCAATCAGTGTTACCCATGTAAAGTCCTCCAATTCTATCCAACGAATCTACGTCTCATGCTTCCCTTAATCTTCGCTAAGGGCCCCGCTATGAGTATACAAGTACTAAGTCTCTAACATTATTATCATCCTATAATGCATCATCATGCCAAACACAATGACGGTACCCGGTATCACAGAGACGCTGGTACTATCACTCAATAATAAGTAAGCATCGTGGTGTAGCTCAAAGTCATATAGCATCACAAAACTCACACCTCTATTTGCTTAATAGAGGTACCTTGGGTAGACTTGGGTCACACGACATCAAAATCTCCCAAGTATCTCAGGAAAGGTCCGGGTCACATAGCATGTGCACCTCCGAATACCTTAGGCTAGGTCCGGGTCACACAACATCAATACCTTACCTTACTAGTATACTCCTCTTGAGTACTTGGAATATGTCCGGGTCATATAGCATTAGTACCACGTTCAACTAGCGACTAAAGTTCATCTTACACTAACTTGGATATATCCATATATTTTATGCACACAAGACAATCGTCCTATTGCTAAAGTAACTTGGGTGTCCTCAGCGTTTCCCGAGCTGCACACAAGGGCATAAATCTTATGGAATCTTACCTTACAAGGCTCTTATGGTTGTCACACAATTATTATTATCTTGTTATTATTATAAGTCTTTCTCTAAAACTAACGTCTTAACACACGTTAGTCGATTTCCCTCTAAGGAAATCAAAGTAGCTCAGTTACTCGTTACCGATCTTGTTGAAGGTGATGCCATTTTCTCTCACCTACACTTTCTTTCTCTTCCTCTTACCTAGGACGTTAAGGAAAGGTTAATTAGCACTTAAAGGGTATTTTTGTCATCTCTGACTTCAGAGATACCTCTAAGCGTTTCACGATTTTCTATCGTTTACGCTTGTTGTTTGCTGACTGAATCACTAGTTAACCCGATACCTGACTCTGGTTCATTACTGGGTAACAACACTTCTAACGCACTTATTGTACTTCTCCCAAAACCCTTGAAGTAGTGGAACGACATATCCATTCCCAGTTCACTAACGTTCTCGAAGCCTCATACTTTTTGTCAGTATTGAATCTGACATATTCTTCATACCACTTATCGAATATCTATTGTAACGATCTTCGATCCCAACTATCTATATACGTCCTTGATTGAAGATACTTTGGTGTATACACTTAATATGGTTACACCCGATGTAACCTACTCCTACGAGTGTTTTTAGGTATGTTTGGTCATTTATGTCACTCACGAACTAAGTCTTACTATGATGGATCGTCCTTAGATCTTACGGACCTTAAACGGGTCAAAAGAACATTCAACAACACTTAGGACATTTAATGAATGCAAATCCATCATTTTCCATCGAGCACAACAGAGAATGGATCAATCATTTTCTCTAAAGGATCGATTCTTTCTCCAAGGGATCGATCTTTTTGAAAATGGATTGATCTTTTCGAAAAGTGATTGATCCTTTGCTGGACAGAAACTTTGGGATCGATCCCTTTGGATGAGGGATAGATCCTTTTTCTAGGAATGACTTGCTTAAGCTTAATAATCGCTCAAGAATCACCCCAAACGACATGGTTGGTTTCTAAACTTATTCAAGCTTTAGTAAGTTATTCAGGGTCTCAAGGAATCATTTAAACATATTATTAACACCCAAAATGTGACTTGGTTGAGAAATCAAAGATGAACCCTAAAATGCTCAAATTATCAAATTTTAGCAAAAATCATAGATTTATAAAACCTTAACTCCAAAGGATTATAAATACACTACATTGAATTTAAAAACCCAAAATGAAGCTACTTTTTTCTATTAAGCACCCTCATTTTTTTTACTTTGGTTGATTTTCCACCATTTTTCTCAAACCAAAAAGGAAGACAATATCCTTAGAATACCAA